TATATTAGTTTGCAGTCCATCTAGCAGTGTAAAATATTTTCTTTTCTCCACATCCACGCCAGCATCTGCAGCTTTGAGACTTTGTGATGTGGGACATTCTCACTGGGGTTAGGTGATATCTCAGGGTGGTTTTGATTAGCATTTCTCTGATTAGGGACAATGAGCATTTTTTCATATGTTTATTAGCCATTTGTCTTCTTCAGAGAAGGTTCTATTTATCTCTCTTTGAAATATTCATGATAGATTTTCTCTTCTCTTACTGTTGGCTGATGTATGTAAACTAACATAATAGCTATTTCCCAATCCCTTCAACACTTGAATCCAACCTTGCTTGTTAATTTTATGTCGCTTATGTTTAATTTAAAAAAATAAGATAAATGCAGTCAGCAGTACAAGCCTGAGCAGGCAGAAACAAAGTCAACTGATGACAATCAGTTGGACTTTAGGCCCCATCTGATCTGCAGATATACATTTTTTGATTAGCACAGTGTTGGTTTACAATGTCTCAAAAATTTATATTTAATTGCCAAATTGTTTCGTGTTAAAACAGATTTTGATTATATCTGTAAAATGTAAAACCTAGGACAGCTGGAAATGCTGGCCTGAGTTTCAGGGTCAATGACAATCTTGAAAATCATTCTTTAGATTATTAAAATCCCCACTATTTTTTCTTGTCTCTCCATCACTGACACGAGGGGCAGTTGTCATTTCTGACTTAGCTCTGTTATCCTCATTCCCTTACATTACCTCCTGGGATCCTGCAGTCATTTGAGTTTGTGTGTTAGCTAAAAGGAGGCCAAAGAAGGAAAAACTGCCCTGTCCATTCGCAGCAAGACCAAAAGTATCGGGAGAGGTTTGTAACTGTTATTTCCCAGCCAGGGTACCTTCCTAATCATGACTGTTTAAGTTAAAAATTCTCAAGTTTAACATTTTTAGTAGAATGATGTTATGTGTCTTGTCAGGTTCAAAGTCGGCAGATGTGGGTAACCAGGTAGAGAAAGTTTCTTAGCGCCTTGCAGCTCTGTCGTGTGATAAGTGGCAGGCTCCTAATTCATAAGCTCCTATATGTCAATGTTATTTTTTTTTCTTTTTACTGATTTTTTTTCCTGAATCTTGATGGTCCTAGTTTTCTAACTATTGAAACAAACAAAAACCTTTATAGGAATTTTCTTTTGTAATTCTATGCTGTTTTAATAAGACAACAGACACATTTCACTCTCTGTGGCCTTTTCTATGTTTTTTATTCTTTCACAAAAGTCAAATTTTGTTAATGCTGAATGTCCATGAACAGATTTTAAATATTTCACCATATCTTAATAGAATAAGTCACATCCCCAGTCTTTCCTAATTTTCTTGAAATGAAGTTTCTCCTCTCCACCTCCCATATATCCTCATTCTAGACAGGATAATGATATTAGGATGAATTACTGTGTTTCCCCGAAAATAAGACCTACCCCAAAAATAAGCCCTGGCAGGATTTCTATGCATTTGTTAAATATAAGCCCTACCCTGATAATAAGACCTAGTGATGGGTAAGGCTGTGCAGTTTATCTGCATAGCCACGGCATGCATTTCAGTGTGGAGTGGTAAGGAAGACTGGAATACCTTTTATCTGCCATAGCTCCTTTCTCTGAGCCATTAGCACTTGTGCGGGTTTGCGTGTGGTAACCACGGTCGCAGGCATCCTATTGCACACGTGTGAATGGCTAGGGGAAAGGAGTTCATGCATCAGTAGCGCCAGCCCCACCAACAAGGTCGGTTCCTGAAGAAGATGACTGTCAGGTTCCAGAAGAAGATGACTTAACTGTATTTGAATAAATGTAGATTGTTGTATTATACTTAATAAAAACAAGACATCCTGGGTGGTGCCTATGGCTCAAAGGAGTAGGCCGCCGGTCCTATATGCTAGAGGTGGTGGGTTCATCAAAACCAGCCCCAGCCAAAAAATGCAAAAAAAGAAAAAAAAAATCCCCTGAAAATAAGCCCTAGTGTGTCTTCTTGAGAAAAAAATAAATGTAAGACAGTGTCTTTTTTTCGGGGAAACATGGTAGTACTAATTTTTATACACGAGGCCTAGGTAGCTCCTAGACCTGACAAGAAAGCATCTCAAGGATGAACAGGCTTTGCCCCTTTCCTGCCTTTCTCTTCTCACCCTAAATGGCTAAGAAGTCAAACTAAATGCTTGAGAATTCTTTTTTTAATTTTTTAACTTTTTTCTTCAACTCTTCTTGGTCTCCTCTTACATACTTTTGGAATAGATCACCAAAAGTGAGAAATAACTCTTATTATTACAGTAGTCTAATTGCTGTAATAAACAGGCCTCAAAATGTTTTGCTTTATTTTCTTTTTTTCCTCACTTAAGGCATAGAAGAACAGTTTTGAAAGATGGCTTCCTCCACTCAGATTTTTAGGGACCAAAATTGACAGTGGCTCTACCACCTTCAGCATGCAACTTCTAGGGTGTCCCCTTGGGGGTTGTCCCCATTACTGCCAGACAGAAGAAGGAAAATGTGTGGATGCACGTGCATGGCAAGTTTATAATCAGTTGGTCCTGGAATTGGTGTTCATGACTTCCTCTCACATTCCATAGGTCAGGGCTCAATTATATATCCAATCTAGGTGCAAGGGAGGCTGGAAGTGTAGTCAGGCTTGTGACCAGAAGAAGAGAACACAAATTGTGACGAGCATTTAGCATCTGTGCTACAACTCGGTTATGTTGAAGAGAGATGATCCTGAAGAGCCCTTTTAGGATAAGCCATCGGAAAATCACCCTAAGAAAAAGTAGGAAGGATCCTTAAAGTTGGACATGAATAAACTTTATCTTCAAAAGCAGTATAACCAGCTCTGTGGAGAACAAAGGAAGGAATCCTTTATGCTTGGGTCAGAGTGATAAAGTGGAAGAGAACCATCTCCTAAAATAGGCAGCAGCGTCATCACAGTGGTAGTAAGCACCAAGAAACTCAAAGGAAAAGGAGACTTATAGTGCTAGAGTCCAAGGTCTCAAGTCTAGTTTGACTTCTCCCAAGGATGTTTTCCTTTGTTTAGCCCTCTGAGATGCTCTCCACCTTATTTTTATCATATATAACCACCATTGCTTATGGGGATCCCAATTCCATCCAGACAACATATGGACATTGTTTTGTATACCAGGCACTAATACTAACAATAGAAAAATACCAGTTAGAATTATACCTTGGGACTTCCTTTGTTGTGTAGTTGATGACTTGGGAGTAATCTACATTCTCTGCAGGCTATTACTTATATTCCTCTGGCAGTCTTGTGACCCCATCACTCTGCTTTAATCTTGAGACAAGAGTAGGGCAGTGACAATTCACCCAAGGGCCATGGCTGGAGGCTGGTGTTCAGCCAGTCTGCACTTGGCATGGGCAGCTAAGGAGCAGCAGCCAGCACACGTTGAGGGGCTGCCATCAACTTGGTCTGACGTTCCTTCCTTGCTTACCATGGTTTCTTTTTCACTGCTTTCTCCCACAGTCTGCACTCAGCTAAGGATATTTAGTGATCTCCTCCAAACTTCTGGCAACTCTCTCTTCTTTTTATACTTTTGACTGATGACTTCACATCATCAGACAGTGGGGCAGCTTCTAGACCCTGCAATTTCATTAGTCTCCTTGTCTATTCTGGGCAAGATAAACGATCCAAGACAAATAGAAAGGCTATTTGTCTCAACTGCTGAAGACTTAGATTTCTCGGGGTTTTGTACCATGCTTCACTTTTACTTCCTTCCCCCATCAAACTTCTGACCCTGTTCAAATGCCATGTTCTACCTAAGTAATTATTTGAGGTGATGTTGGCTTCTGTTTAATTTCTCATTCCTTTAATTTTCTTTTCTCTCAGTGAATGCCATTTGTTTTTACCAGACCCTCGTTTCCTTTGCCATGTTTTAGGTACCTGATAAGTCAGAACTTAGCAGTAGGCTTAAAATATTATAGGGAAGGAGGCAGATGGCAGCAGGCTGCACAAGTCTGGGGCAATATAAATTGGTCCTCAATGAGGTGTTGGCTGAAATTGTGGAATAATGAGGTAAAAATCCTACAAATTATATGAGAAAATGACAAATGAATAGAAATTAAGGAATGGTAGGCAGGATAGGGCTGTCCTTGAGGTAAGGCCTTGGAAACAATTCCAGTATTCTATGCTTCACAATAGGTCAGAGGAGAAATTGGGGTAGTAGTTTGGATTTTTAAGGGGGAAACAGAGTCCCTCTTGTTTAAACTGAGGATATTTCTGGGCCAGCCTTTCAGAACTGTAAAGAAATGTCAGTGCTCTAGATATTCAGATTCCTATTTTTCAAAAATGTCAGAAATGCAGCTCAGAGTCAGCAATACTTCTTAATCTCCATGGAAAAATGTTTATCACCTCCCTTAAATAAAATGAAAAGGGGTGGGTAGGGGTGTGTGTATCTGTCTGCTGGGGAAAAGTTCATTTCTGCTTTTAGACCAGAGGGGCCCATGATCCATAAATGAGAAAGAGTTTCTGGATTTGAGGGTTTGTGTATCCTAAAAGGAGTGAAGGCTCTGAGGGAGATGAGCTGACTAGGAGGAAGACCCCCAGAGGGTGAAGGGCTTAATGTAAGCCGGTGTGAAATGAGGTGTTGTAGGGCATTAATGCTCCACACTTCCATCCTGAAGCCTGAATGTCAAGCTTGAAATCTTCAGATAGGAAATTAGGGCCCCATACTGTGGAATCCGAGAGAACATTTATCTTCATGTTGATAATACAAAGTGTAAAAAAATGAAATGATGGGTTCACATTTCACACACCTAGTTTTATATTTTTCAAAACTAATGTTCAAGAATGCAGTCTTGCAATAGCGTTTTGTCTTGATTTTCTGCAACACCTTGTTCTCAGCCTCACCTTTAGTTCTCTCTAGGATGCTTCTAGTCATCACTCAGAGTCTAGGCTAGTATCCAAAGGCACAATAAACAATGGCATTGCTGTTTTTATGAAGGCACTAACGCCTATTTTTGTGTTCCTGGTAGCAAAACCACTGAGTTCTTGAGCAGACTGAACTCAGAGTTGCCAAACAACAGTGCCTGTCCCACTGCTCTTCCTGGCCCACGATCCTCAACATGGGTAAGTGGAATGTCCTGCAAGGGGTTTTTAGTGACTGAAGAATAAGGGCATAGAGTGCCCTGTATGGCTTAAAATGCTGGAACCCATGGCAGATGACATGATCTAAAACTTTAACCTCAACTGTTGCCCAAGCTATAAAATAATGCTGAGTTTGTTGCCTATGTTATGGGTACCTGGTCACAAATGTCAGCCTCAGAAAAGCCCTTGGTCTCAACCAGTCATCTAAGTTCCCAGGTCTATCGTAAACCTATGGAGTGAGTACAGTTTCTGCCCAGAAGGACAAAGTGGGGAGTGTCAAGCCTATTACTCTTGCCTTCAAAACCTGAAGACACAGCTAAGTCAGACTGTGTGTGTGTGTAGATGTTTCCTGACCAAGGTGACACCAAGAGCTAAAGCTTAAAAGATTAGACAGTAAAGACAGTCATTCCAGGTATCAGAATTAATCAAGACACAGAAGCAAACATTAAGGTTTAAAGGCAGGAAGCGTGGCTTGTGTTGGAGAAGAAGGGTTACATAGCTGCAGTGTGGCAAAGTGAACTAGGAGGCTGGAGAAGGAAGGAGCCATGAGGACTCTTTCTCAACAGTGGTGCCCCTGGCAAGTCAGGCAGTGACAGTCCACTGTGCAGGTTGCCATGGGTGCCCGGGAGGTTTAACATTCCTGGCTTATGAGCCCCAAATGCCAGTAGTACCACTCAGATTTTGGGAAATCCAGTTATGCCCCCCATGGGAAGCTGATGGTGCTCCCCATAGACAACCGCAGAAATTTGTATAGCACATGGGAGAACTTGGAACTCATTCTTTGAATACTGACAGTCTTGAACATTTTCAAATAGGGAAAGTTCAAGGTTAGATTTATGCTTTCACAGGATCCCACTGGTAACCTTGTGAAAGATAGGTCTCAAGGAATAGAAAGGCAGAGACGCTGTGTATTAGGCTGAGTGAAGATGGATGAAGACTTCAACTAAGACAGCAGGGGAGGGAGCAAAGATGAAAGGGCAGGTCAGAAAACTGCTTAGAAGGTGAAAGCTGTGGGGCTTAGTTATTGACTGGCTAATGGAGGCCAAGATAGTAGGTGATATGAAGGATGACCCTGGGAAGGAGTTGTAGTTAAAAGAAAAGATGGGTTTAAGATTTTAAAAATCTTAGCTTTTCCAGGATTTAGGCATATGAATAAGTTGTTGGGAGACTTGATCTTCATCTTCCCCGATCCTGTTCTCATTAGGGATCATACATTAACTTGTCAAAATGACCCGATGACACTCCTTGGGAAAAGGTCATTATACTCTGCAAATCTTTAGGTGTTCCTTTTTTTTTTTTCTTCCTACTTCTAATTTGGAGCTCCAAAGTCTAAATTTGTCAATGTGGGCTCCATAAGTTATATTAAGTGAAATCTGTCACCTGTCTCTCTTCTTTGCAGGGCTCTGGGGGAAGGAGTTGAGAAGCTGTAGGTAGTGGAGTGAAGTCACATGTAGGTGATAGCCCTAGACATCTGTCTGGATAGCCTCACGCCTGTGAGGGAAGTCACAGGGGAAGGGAGGACAGGGGTTGGAGAGCTTTCCCAGTCTGATTTGGCCTACGGGGATGGTCTTGTTTTCTGTCTGAGGTTCTCCTTGAATCCTGTGATTTGAAACACCTGGCAGTACTATGCTGCCTCTATTGATTTTTGACTCGTTTCTGCAACTTAACAAGATCACCCTGAATTTTAATATTATCCTCCAAAGCATTAGCCGTGTCTCCCAGAGCTGCATTTTCTGTGAATTGATTAGTACATTAGTTACATGATCCTCAGAGCTATCAATGGAAAATATGGAACAGGATTGGACCTCAGCTGGTTCCTTATGAACTGCGTGCAATAGCTGTTCTCATTTTGACACCAAACTGTTAATAAGTTGTCCTTGTTCAATATATTTAACTGACTTTTTACCCATATTGTAATACTCTTCTCGTTCTTTCTAATCCATATGCATAGAATTCTGAGAATGCTTTGCAGAACCATTTCTAATGCTATAGAGAAATCAAATATGTACATTGCACTTCTGGGAAGAACATTTTCTTCTCTGTTAAAAGAGGACCCTGCAGTTTACTTTAGCCCTGGTCAGTGCACAGACTGTGAACACTGTGTGGTTCCCATCTGCCTGGGTTGTGATGAGTTGGACGAATTGAAATTTGTTTGGTTTTCAATTTTCATTTTCCTACCTAATGGAATTTTCCTGAGAATATTTTCTTCTTACGCTTTTCGTATTTGAATGTGGATCTGCCATTGGCAGATGGAAATTTAATAAATTATGTCAGTGAAAAACTGCAGAAAATTCCTTTAAGTGTTACAAGAACTTTTTTTTCTTTAGGTTAGGACTTCAGACAGGGTTCACACTTACACAGGGATTGATACTGTTTTCTGTACACGTGTCTGTGTGTGTGTGAGAGAGAGAGTGTAAGCAGAAGTACCTTCTTCAACCATTATCGGATATTTCCTTTTTTTTCTTTTAAAGATAGGGTCTCACTCTGTTGCCCTGGGTGGTAGAGTGCTGTAGCATCATAGCTCACAACAACCTCAAACTCCTAGGCTCAAGTGATCCTCTTGCCTCAGCCTCCCGAGTAGCTGGGACCACAGGCACCTGCCACAATGCCTGGCTATTTTTTGAGACTGCGTCTTGCTTTTGCTCAGGCTGATCTTGAACTTCTGAGCTCAGGCAATCCACCTGCCTTGGTCCCCTAGACAGCTAGGATTACAGGCGTGAGCCACGGTGGTGGGCCTGGATATTTCTGAATACTGGATAACCTGGATACTAAATGCTTTCTAGTCTGTGATTTGCTGCCTGTACTTCTTCTACAAAGAACATTTACTTCAAATAATTAAATTTGTATTGTATTAAGATACAAAATCAGTTGTGATTTGTTACCGCAGCAATGGAAAATACACAGACTTTAAAGTATGGGGTGGAAGTGGGATTCAAGGGGCACACGTACAATTGTTATTTGACTTCTTTTCCTGACCTCAAGTCAAATTTGTTATTTGAACATTTTAAAAAGTGAGTATGTGATACATGTGTGCAAATTAAAATAACCAAACTGCACCGACGTTTGAGACCAGCCTGAGCAAATTGCACCAAGGACACTTTTTTAATAAGATGCTAAAATTGGCATGTAAAGAGGTCTGGTTCCTTCTGGTGTTTCACTGCCTCAAATCCTTCAGTGGTTCCCTGTCTTCAAGGATGAAGTCAAATGCCTTAGCTAAGCACAAAGCCCTTTCTGTTCTCTGCTTCTCTCTTCCCCTAGATTCTGTTTTTCTGTCTCTCCCTTGATTCTCTCTCTCCCAGATTCTCTCCCCCCCAGATTCTCTCCCTTCACCCCAACCTCCAGACTATCTCTCTCTCTAGATCTTCCTCTCTACTCCTCTAGGGTCTAGAGACCTGGCCTCGAGTCTGAATCTTTGCTCCTGCAAGTGTAGTCCATGGACACCTGGGAGCTTATAGGGATGCAGACCAACCTCAGCCCTCCTGAATCAGAGCCTGCATTTCACACAATCCATCGGAGATTTTGTGTACATGTTCATGTCCGAGGGGCAAAGGTCTAGAGCTCTAGCAATATCCTATCTTAGTGCTGTGAGCCCTTGGTGCAGTTTGGTTATTTTAATTTTCACACAGGTGTCACATGCTCATTCCTTAAAAAGTCCAAATAACAAATTTGACTTCAGGTCAAAAAAAGGCCCCATAACAATTGTATGTGTGCCCCTTAAATCCCACGTCTACCCCATACTTTAAAGTTGTATTTTCCATTGGTGCTGTAACACATTACCACTAATTTTGTGTCTTAATACAACATGAATTTGTTGTCTCAATATTTCTGGAGGTTAGACACAAAAAATGAATGTAAGATGCTACAATCGGGGTGTCAGGAGGGCTGGCTCCTTCTGGAGGCTCCGGGGACATCTGCTTCTTACCTCTCTAGCTTCTCTTGGCTGCTGGCATTTCCTCGGCTCCTTGGTGCATGGCTCCCTCACTCCAATCCCCGCTCCTGCCTCACAACATCTTCTGCCCTCTCTGGTCTTCTCGCCTTCCTCTAATAAAAGACCCTAGTGATCACAAAGGCCCACCTGGATAAGCCAGGCTACTCTTCCTATCTCAGGATCCCTAGTTTCTGCACGGTTCCTTTTGCCACATAAAGTAACATACACCACTGCTGGGGATTAGGATGGGCATCTTTGGGGAGGACTGCTCTTTAGTACCCCCACAATTCTAGTTGTTCCAAGTCATTAGCTCTGAATTTCTATTGACATCTATTGATAACTCTTGATCAGTCAATTTTAGGCCTTATTAACTCCTTTCTTCCCCCTCATTTTCCTCGTCATTCAGACTTTCCTTATGAGGACTACATATTTTCTTACACATGAGGACATATTTCTGCATTTTCTTAGTTTTCGTTGAACATTTGATTGTCTTCCTTCAGCTTTTGGGACTGTTCTACAAAATGCGTCTTGATGCAAATTTCCACACCGTTTTCCATTCTGTGCCTGTCAGACAACTTGTTAAATCTATTCCCCTTTCCTACCCCATTTCTCTCACCTCCTGCTTCAACCTGTACTGGTTGTTCTTCAGGCCTGCTAAGCGGCTGTTTTTCTGGGACCTCCTAGCACACAATGGCTTTCAATATCCTCTGCATATTGGATTTACCTGGGGAGCTTTAAAAATCACTGATGCTTGGTCTGTATACCCAGAGATCCTGCTGGATTGTGGCCTGGGCTTCGGGGTGGTGGTGGTGGTGGTGGTGGTGGTTTAAAACTCCCCAGGTGGTTCTAATGTGTAGTCAAGGTTGAGAATCACTGTTTTAAAGTCGTCTTGGGAATTGCTTTTATTACTCCCTGATGTTGGGTTCCCTGATTTCTAGGTCTCATTCTTTCCATTTTCTGGCTTTAGTTCTTTGTTTGGGTGGAACATGTTCCTAGTAGCTTTCTGAGAGCAGATGCATGAGATGTAATCGTGTTTGGGCCCTTCCACGTCTGAAACTGCCTTTATGTAGCCCTCATATTTTGGTTGGATGTGTATGGTTGATGATCTCAAATTGGAAATAGTTTTCTGTCAAATTTTTGATGCCATCGTTCATTAAACATTGGTTCCTGAGAAACCTAAGTGCATGTGAATTTCAGGCCTCAGATGAGGGTTTTCTCCTCCTTTCTCTAGAAATATTTTAATATCTTCTTTTTCTGGTGTTCTGCAATGGTGTAACTTGGAGTGAGGATCTTTTTTATTCATTTTCACTCTGCAAATTCATCTCTAGTTCTAGATGATTTTATTGTGTTATTTCTTTGATTTATTTCCTCTTCACTTTTCTCTTTATGGAATTTTTTATTATTCAACTCCGAGGCCGCCTCCATTTCTCTTTTAACTTGTTTCTTTTAATTTTTTTTTCTCTTCTAATTTATCTTTGATTGCCTCTTTTCTACTTTTTGGAATAGTTTCTTGACTTTATCTCCTGGAATATCTTACTGATTTGGGGTTTCTTGTGGGAGGCAAGGGAGTTTTTTTTCTTTTAATTTTCAAGCATACCTTTTTCTCTTTTCCTCTGTTGTTCTTAAAAGATATATCACCTCATACCTTTCAGAGGAAGCAGGGCGGGGAGCAGAAGAAAACTTCAAGGGAAGGTGCTGAGAGGCTCACTGGTTCAGGTGCAGGATTTTATAGAGTTAGTCTGTGACATGGCGTTTGACCACTGCGGCCTGCTGGGCTTGGTGTGCCTGGTTTGGTTTACCCAGAGAATGCACTTTTCATTTCCTGTTGGTGCTGGTGAATGAGCATGTGTATTTGCAGGGCAGGCGTGGGCATCTGGGGCTGAACGGCTTCTATTGAGGCCTGCTCCTTATTCCTTTCCTCCCACCTCCCCACCACCCATCCGTCTTCCAAATAGCTGGTGTCTCCATTTTGTGGCCCTCCTGTTGCTGGGTGGAGGAAGTCGTTTACCTGGGGGTGTCCTCTCACCCCTCGCTGGCTCGTCTTCAAGGTTGCTCTTTCCTTCTCGATGTCACCCCCCATGTCTTTATCCACTTTGTTGCCCCAGATTTTCCTCTGTGAAGACAGATGTCTCTTGGCTTTTAAAGATACAGTTTGTGTTCATTTCGTTTTGTCTTCTGCTTAGGGTAATTTTTCAGAGAAGGGAGAAGAAGCATCTTTACCACGTAGAAAGAAGTTAATGCTTGTCATAGGTAGAATTGGGTATCTCTCTCATCTTCCCACCCCCCCGCCAATTTATATGTAGAAGCCCTAACCCCTAGAACCTCAGAATGTGATCTTGTTTGGAGAGAGGGTCTTTATGGAAGTAATAAATTACAGTGAGGTCTGTAGAGTGGGCTCATATCCAGCAGGAAAGACAGCCTTATAAAATGGGGTGACAACACATAGAGGTGTCCATACAGGGAAGATGATGTGAAGAGACTCAGCGAAGACGACCATCTATCAGCCTTTCTGGTCCTCTGAGGGAACAAGCCCTGAAGACACCTTGATTTTAGACTTCCAGCCTCCAGAACCATGAGACAGTAAATTTCTGCTCTTTCAGCCACCAGTTCATGTGGTGCTTTGTTAAGGCAGACCTCGCAAACTCATACAGGGCTACTCTTTAACTATTCATATGGTGCCCTCTTAATCTGATTGCTGCTCTTTGAAACACAACTTAGCCTCATCCACTATGGGAAGGTGTCCTGGATCCAGTTTGATTAAGTGTCCTCATTTTTGACCTCCTCTATCAGAACACCTATCACACTGTGCTTTAAGTGTTAATAATCTTGTCTTGTCTGACTTCCCCATTAGTTTAGAAAGGTGTGAGGTCTTGGATCATGTTTTGACACAGTCCTTGCACATACAAGGCTTAAATGTTTATCGAATGAATACATTATAAGCACAGCTTTGGGGGAAGGTGAATAAAAGTGTATTTCCATTGAATGACAAAAATTCAGCACTGATATATACTAAATAAATATTTAATATTGAAGTGTGTGAATGTGGTGTCTTAGAAACTTCTGGCATGCAGAACTAAGAAAAATAGTGATCAAAAATACGTCCCCTTACTATTATTTTTGAACAGTAACTTCCTTTCCTTCCTGGGGATCACAGCTGGGGAAGCAAGCATAGCATTGCAAATGACTTTGGATTTCTCAGAGATAAGTTGCCAGGTGACTTCCCAGGTTCTGTGGTCTTCTCAGAATCTTGTAAGTCTAATAACCATTTTTCCTCCTGAGTCAAAAACTAGATCTGTATTCTTATAAAAGAACAACAAGGTGGTAGGTTTCAAAGGAAAGTATTTAAATAGAATTTAGGTACTTGGCTCGAGTCATAATATTTGCTTTAACTGTATATTTTACAACGACTTTGAATCTCTTAAACGGAAGCTATTGCCTTCCTTTCTTTCCTTCCTCCCTGGGTCTTCTATAGAATATTTGTGATGGAGACTTCTTTAATATAAAAAGAAGAGGTCATCAGAGAATCACTCCTCTCTTCATTGTCTTACGAGGGCCCCTCTGTGGTTAGGCTGTAGAGAAAAGAAAGTCAGAGGATGTATGTCTCCCTGTCTAATGTTGCAGAGTTTGGATATATAAGGGCTTTCTGAATACTCGGAGCTCTACTATTCTAATACTGCCATAGATGATATAATTCTGAAAGCTTCTCTCTTTTTCTGGAAAGTAGCTCTTACTGCTGGATGGTATATGTGTTTTTATTGTTACAGAAATGGAGGAATGAATTAAGTGCTTGAGAAAAATTATATTAAAGGGAAAGGGAGAAACAGCTTACATAAGCTTTATGGATTATGAGTCCAGAGAACCAGGCCTGAAATATGTCGCCTGCTGCCATGATGCCACTAGTAGTTTTATGAGCTTGGTGAAATTTCCTAAGTATTAGCTTAGCAGGCTGGACTCTCTGCCTTACAGTGGCTGGGCCAGAAAATCAATCTGAGGAAAAGAAAAATATATGACAAACAGAAAACTTGAACTATCAAAAATTCCAGAATCAATGGTCACTACGCCAGAAGCCCTGACATGGTGGGTCAGAGAGACTGTTCTGTCACATGTGCTGGCCCTCCTGTAGCTTCTGTGCTACTGACTTTGTTTTCCTCCTCAGAATACAAATAAGCTTCATACAGATTAGGGATGCAAAGACTTAGAAAGTAATGCGTCTTTGAAATTATATAGTATCAATCACCAGTTGACACATTTAATAGGCTACCATAAATGAGCCATAGACATGAGTTTCCAAAGATAGTGCTTGTTTTTAATATTGACTGATCAGCTAGTTGGAACATTTTTGAAAATATCTTTAACTTTCCACTAGAAGGAATAAACTATATTGGTTATCTCTGAGGGGATATTTTTAAAGCTTAATTAAACAAACATTTAGATCATCTTTTAAAATGTGCTGGATGATTGTGCTTACAGTACCCTTCTTTTTATATATCCTAAGGGACATCTTCAGCCATACACGTTAATCACTCAGTGAACAAGTGTGCATGGAGAGCTCACTGTAGCGCAGTGCACAGGCTGAGGTATGGGCACCAGTCCCTTGGTAGGCAGACTGGTGTACTGTGGAGGTACTTCTTCATGTGAAGTTTTCATTTTCTTTTTCTCCCCCTCACCTTTACAGGCCAGAAGCCAGGCTTATAAGGATTCACTAAAGGAGGAAGAAAACCAAAAATTGCAAAAGATGAAGGAGGAACAACGTTGGAAGGTATTTACAGGACTCTGCTAGCTATTGACAGTGGTTTGCATGAGGTGCAAGGTAATTTGGAAAAGTTTCTGAATAGAAGTACTTGGATACATAAAAATCCTGAAAATTAACATAACTGTTGACAACAAAAGGTGAGTTCTGGGCTTAAGAGTGTGGTAGTGGCTCCTTCTGGTCAAAACTTTCATGGTACTTGGCTTTACTGGGGATCATGGTGCGTCTGCCATACTTGGTGCCAGTAGTTCTTAAAGATGATACAGCACACACGGACTCCTCACCTGCAAAACAGAACACAACTGCTGTTAAACCAAAGATATATGACGTTACAGAGGATTTCATATACCTTTGGGTGGAAATATTAGAATGCTTAACAAAGAAAGTAGTCATACAAAGTTATGAAACTGGTTTAAATATTCACCTAAAAATAGTTATACACGTATAGTAAGACGTAAAGATACACTATACATGTGGACAAATATGCAAGGTGTTGCCACATATTCTGAGCAATAGAAAGTGTAATGAATGCAGAGCTTCTAAAGAAAAGTGCTTAAAGGATCATTCTCATTGTGATGTGAAATCCTGGTACCCTACCGTACAACATTCAGTGCCATGGTCAGATAGGGCACAAGCTCCTCTGCGTAAGATGAGAATGATGAGAAAAGTCAGAAAGACCAAGGGTTAGCTCCAAAGAATTTCAGTCCAGATCATTTAAATAAGCAAAATAGCCAGGTATGATGGCTTGTACCTATAATCCCAGCACTTTGGGAGGCCTAGTTAGGAGGATTACTTGAGGTCAGGAGATCTAGACAAGCCTGGGCAACATAGATAAGACCCCATCTCTAAAACAAATGAGAAAAATGAAGCAAGTATGGTGCACACACTTAGGGACCCAGCTATTCAGGAGGCTGAGCCAGAAGGATTGCTTGAGTCAGGTGTTAAGAGGATGCAGTGAGCTACGACAGTGACCCTGTACTCCTGCCAGGGTAACCTATCTTGAAATAAATAAAATAATGATCTGCATTTAATTGAATTATTTATCTTTCCTATCATTTTTATTTTCTAGTATTTCCTGTTCCCAACTTGATCATTGATAAATCCTGTCATTATTTCTTCTAGAATCTTTCAAATCTATTTCAATTATACAATTAAGGAGAATTTTAACCCCCATTTTGATTTCCTTGATTTGGTTGAATTCTTTTTTCCTTGTATCTTTGTCCCACAAGGGGACTTTTATATAATTGTATATAAAAATCTCCCTGTGAAGTAGACTACAGGTATTCAGGGGACCCCTTGACCCTTTTCTTTGTTTCTTTTCTTTCTTTTTTGTTCCCTCTGTCACCTAGGCTGGAGTGACCTGTTCATAGTTTACTGTAGCCTCAAACTTCTGGGCTCAAGAGATCCTCCGGTCTCAGCCTCCTAAGTAGCTGGCACTACAAGCACGTGCCACTATGCCTGAGTAAATTTTAAATTTTTTGGCTGAAATGAGGGTCTTCATATATTGCTCAGGCTGCTATCAAATTCCTGGCCTCAAGCAGTCCTCTCATCTGAGCCTCCCAAAGTTCTGGGATTTTAGGTGTGAGCCACCACACCTGGCTTATTTTGACTCTTTTGAGTGCCACCCTCCCCCTAACAGTGGTTCACTTCTTCCTAGCTCACAGTTTGACCCAGCATGGCTGTGTCACTAGACCTTTTTGTGCACAGTAAGAAGTCATTAAATCATTAGAAATTATGTGAGCTATGGATTTAGTTATTAAGTTACTATGTAAGCAATGAACTATGGTAAACATGTTTATTTCTTTAGTGGCTTTTAAAAAATAAGACTCTTTTTGTTGGACCAAGTCCTTATCTTGAAATCTGCAATTAAATATGCCATGTTATCTAATAGGGAGATTGTAGTAATTAGCAAACAGAAGCTAAATCTGGTATATACTTGTGTTGTATTTTCAATAATGTCTGTCAAATGACATAACAGCACTATTCTGTTTCCATGAGCCATTAAATTACTATCCAGCTTTAAGGTACTTAGACACTAAGGTGAATGGTGTGAAGTCAATTATAGATATGATTTATTTTAAAATTCTAGTAGATTTTAAATAGTGTTTTACAAAGTTTGGTGTGTATATTTGGAGCATGAAAACTATTAAGAGTAGGATATTTCTTTTTTTTTTTTTTTTTTTGAGACGGAGCCTCAAGCTGTCCCCCTGGGTAGAGTGCCATGGCATTACAGCTCACAGCAACCTCCAACTCCTGGGCTCAAGCGAGTCTCCTGCCTCTGCCTCCCAAGTAGCTGGGACCACAGGCACCCGCCACAACGCCTGGCCATTTTTTGGTTGCAGCCGTCATTGTTGTTTGGTGGGCCTGGGCTGGGGATTTGAACCCGCCACCTTAGGTGTATGTGGCTGGCGCCTTAGCCGCCTGAGCCACAGGCACCGAGCCAAGAGTAGGATATTTCACAAAGCATGCTTAACAGATTAGAAAATCAAATATGGGATTTAATTTTCATGTGGAACAATGAAAATTAAGTATTTTTACTTAATCTTGTTTTTGTTCTGGAGTTAGGTAAATATTGATACATGTTTTCTGGTTACTGATTGAACATCTTTCAAATTTATGTTCTTTTCTGTAGCTTTCAGTAAAATAGGTTTATATATCATTTTATCCTTAAGGACTTTACTAACAATAGACTACATTACGGAGATTAGCCCATCTGGTCTACTTTTGCCTCTTCCTCTGTTTGTCTAATCTGTTATTATCGGGACATGTCCACTGAAGGCATTTCCTGATTTGTAGACTCTTTCATTCCTTATCACTTTAATTATTTACCTCTAAGAAGAGGATCAAATTTATGGTAAGAAGACACAGAAAACGGCATATTTGTATCATTGCATCTATTCATGTGTTTGTTTATTCCATTCATTTAACAAATATTCGTCAAATGCCAGCTAACTTATAGGTAGATAATCTAGGGTAAGTTGAGGCGACCCCACATTCATTTTGTTTTGTGTCTCTCTGACTTGCACAAGTACTCTGGGGACAATAGGTTCTTTCATAAGTTTAACCTCTTAATATTTTACATTTGATTCCCTTGCCTCTTCTTCTAGAAATTTCTAATTTCCTGTTTTTTCTACACCTTCAATAAAACTCTTTTCTGTTGGCTACTTCTGTCTTTTGTCAACAAACATGCTGTCTCTTGCTCTTCTAAGATAAACCAACTAAACCCCTTCCTCGATTCTGCTATCCTCAGAGATGGTACTCTTTTTGTTTCTACCACATTTAATTAAAAAAGCAAGAATCTTACTATCACCCCTTCTTTATTACCCACTTTATCCTTAATTCCTTATGATCTGGTTTATATTCACAAATGCTGTGACTGAAATTGCTCTCTAAAGGTAAACATACAATTCAGTGGTCTTTTTGCAGTCTCTGTCTCCTTATGACACTGTAACACTAAGACCACTTTAAAGCTTTCCTTTTCTGGCTTTTATTTATTTATTTACTTTTAACTGTTGCTATTTTAGTTGACTTACCTCAGAGTAATCTACCCCAGTATTCATTCATTCTGTCCACAAACGTGTCTTGACTTCCTATTATGTGCTGGGCCTTGTGCCATTTGTGGAGCTACATTTAAGAAATGGATAGACAAGGTTCCAGCCCTCCTAAAATTTACATTTTAATGGAAGAGATACACAATTAAAAGGAGACAAAGACATAAACGGTGTACTTTTTATTTCATAGTGACTCATTACTTTGTAGTAATTAATGCTACAAGAAATAAATCACATAGTGTGATAACTTCAGGATGGCGTAGCATATCCTCTATTGCCTGTCTCTGTACTACAATTCTCATTTTTCTTCAGCTCTCCATCCTACTCCATCCTACCTTACATGACTTGTGTTTCAGACAAGACAGACCCCTGCCCTCACCCCTGGGATTCAATTCAAAAGTGGTGTAACACTTCATGAGAATTCCATTCTCTTGACTGTGATTGGTTTCACTGCGGACATGTGATGCCCTTTCAACCAAAGATGAAAGGCAGGGGATGCTTGCCTTGCAGAATAGTTTTTTTTTAACAGCATCAAGTATAACATTCTTCCCATGTAATGCTTTTTAAAAGATTGATTTCTTTTTTGTTTTTCTATTTTGTCTGATTCTAATATTTCATGTACCAGCTTTTTGTTGTTGTAGTCAGCATTTATGTGGTATTTTCTTTTTTTAGTCACTTAGCCTCTCTGTGTCATTTGGTTTAAAGTAGGTTCCTGATGACAAAAATGATTGGCTTTCCTTTTGTCCAGTTTTAGAGTTTCTTTTAGTAAGTAGATTTGATATGTTCTCATATTATGATGACTGGTATCTTTGCATAATTTGTGTGCTTGTCACATAATTTGCTATTTAAAACTATTTTTTGACTCTTTGATTAAATTTTCAGTTCCATTTATTTACTGTTTCTTTTTCTTTTTCCTCCCTTCCTATATTAGAAGAAATCTCATAATGTTTGTTTCTGTTTTTAATCGTGCATAGCCTTTGATTGTCTCTTTTGATCTAAAAATACATGTTTCTCTTCAGTTTTCCTTTTTCCTTCCTATTTTTCCTTCATGTTTCTTCCTCCATGTTGGTCTCTGCTCTCCATTTCTTGGGACGTCTATCAAATGGATTTTGGATATTCCAGATTTATTCTTCCCATATCCCTTCATTGCTTTCTTATACTTCTTTACCAATTTATTTTAATTTTTTTCTTACACTTCTTTACCAATTTATTTTATTTTTATTTATTTATTTATTTATTTTTGGGACAGAGTTTCACTGTGTGGCCATTGGTAGAGTGCTATGGCGTCACAGCTCACAGCAACCTCAAACTCTTGGGCTTAAGCAATTCTCTTGCCTCAGCCTCCTAAGTAGCTGGGACTACAGGTGCCCACCACAACACCCGGCTATTTTTTGTTGCAGTTGTTGTTGTTGTTTAGTTGGCCCGGGCTAGGTTTGAACCCACCAGCCTCGGTGTATG